TGCTGGACGTAGTTTAACGTCTTACCGAGGACGCGGATGTAGTTTAACGTCTTACCCAGGACGCTCATTATTGAGGGATTGACGCGGTAAACAAGACGAATCAGAATGCTAGCGTCAAAATACACGATCCTCTCGTTACCAGCAAAGCATATTCTACGTCAGAGCTACATATAGTTTTGAATTCAGAGTTATCCTTCTTAACCAATTCTGAAGAGCCCGACCTTGCGTACTATTTAGCCCATAGATAGTGGAGAAGAAATGGATTCATAACGTTTAAAATGCTATTTGCACGAAAATGGATGTAACGAAACACGACTGACATTCAAACTGAAAACAGCTTAATACTACACCACCCGCACATCCATCTGTTATGTTTCATGTTACAGTTAATCTAATACAGTGTTTTTCAGCATTTTTAAGCAACAGCAGACCTAGGAAAAAATGAAAATATCACAGCACACTTAGCAACATTTTTAAAGTGTGTACGTTTAAATATGGAATAAAACCGTAGATTTAAAAAAAAGAAAAGAAAAAATACAGTAGACACAAAAATATGAACTTAATATAATTCAATGTTTTTGTTCAACTATTTGTGCAGCTAATTTAGTGCAAAATCTGTGTCTGGTATTTTATCACGATTTCTTCAATGTTTTGTCGATAAGATCCTCATTTCTTCTTCAAATGGCAATATTTCGTAGCACATTTAAGATTATCAGTAGGCACACTAGTGTGCCTCGGTACGGCGACTGAAAATCACTGAACTAATATATAACTGTCAAAGTTCACCAGTGTATTCATTCGATACATGGACAAATAAAAATTAAACATCAACAAATATATGTGGTTTTTTGGAACAAAAAGTTCGTAGTCTTTTTAATATAATTTCTTGAAGACATGACATCAATTCACACATGACTGAAATTTATGAAAAATAAAGAACGACAGCAGACAAAGGGAAGCCGAAAAGATCTTTGATAAAACAAAATGAGTTGCCATTCCCCACTCCAAAAGTTGATCTGCATACAAAGAATATGATACCGTGCATCTGGCGAGATTAGAAAGGCATTGTTCATTAAGACCTCATTCCACATAATGGAAAGTTGAATTCAAACGAATAATCTTCTCAATATGCGTTAGAAATTGTCCAATCAAAAGTGTATCGTCTTCCTAAGGTCTCTTCGCAGATCCGACATCAATTGGATGATCTTGCACCTTCAGATTACCACTTATTTAGATCCCTACACAATTTTATTAATGGGAAGAATTTCAATTCACTGGAAGCCTGTAAAAACCACTTAAACCTATTCATCACCTAGAAAGACGCGATGTTCTGGGAGAATGAAATCATTTATGTTCGTTCTCTTTAAAATTGGATGGTTTTGTTGCGTTTGAACAGACAATCGCAGATAGAAATGTATTTCATTAGATCTTTTCCATTACATATATATAGTGGATATATATATATATATATATATATATATATATATATATATATATATGTATATGTATATAAAGATATATATTATCAATATATATATATATATCAATATATATATATATCAATATATATATATATATATATATATATATATATATATATATATATATATATATATAGATCCTATATAGTATAGTCCGGTATAGACAAAAAACTACAACACATAAATTTGGCAATTAATCTCCTTCAGATTAACCCCCTTCTAAAGAGACACACTTTATCCAGAAACATTACCACTGATGAAAGTATTCCTTGAACTCCTTTTATAGGAAAGCGAGTAGCTGCCTGCCTGCGTTCTCTTGAAATATCTTGTATCTTGAAATTTTGTTCTTTTCAAATGTGATTTTTTGAAGGAAAAGGTTGCAAAGGGCGAAATCTGAGAGATATGGTGATTGTCAGACCTAGGTAATGGCCGAAAACTGATTCAAAAGCCTTGGCTAATGATGGAACCTTTGTTATGTGTTCTGACGACCGCATTCTTCACGTTTTGTTTATAAGCTCTTCTATAAACAATTGAAGTGGGCTACAAAGTTCAAGGTCAGCATGTGCCAAGTGACTTCCCTCTGCGTACTGTGAACTCCGTTACCATAGTAACAGTCCCGAAAATTTTTTTATCTAACCTCATATTATAGAATTGTACCTTACAGAAAGATCAATATTCCAATAGTCTCTTTCTGCTAATATGTCATTCTAATTACCCACTGAATTCTTGAAATTTCGCCGGAAGTATTTCTTCCAAGTTAAGAACAACTGATTCATAAGAATTTCGATGTGACAATGAGAGTACTTTCATTACCTTAACTTTCTGAGTCCATGGAAAAATTTATATTAACATATTGAGAGCGATGTTAACGAATTGCTCAAAGCCTTTTTTTATGAAAAAATATTTTAGCAGCCGTGATTTAGTTCCAGATTAAATATTAACAACTCAATTAAATAATCCAGATTTTGTCAGAGCTGATGATGCAAGCGCGTTCATCAAATTTTCACAAAGTGAAAAAAAAAAAAGAAATTAATTTCTTGTTTGTCTCTTTTGCTGGAGGACGGCGCAAATGTAACGCTTATGCATCGGCGACATTAGCTGGCTAGCTGATTCGTAGAGAAAGGAAATTGATGTCTGAGAATGTTGCATTTCCAAATTTAGATCAGCACATGACATCAATGAGATATCGATCTCTATCTCTGCCGCTCCCCACCCGCGATCATTTCATACGATTTGTGCTGAAACAAATTAAAACCTTGTACGATGAACAAATAAATTTGCGTATACGATTGGTTGAGAAAGTGACTTTACATTCTGCAATGACTTTCGTATACACTCTGTGTATGTACATAAACATCTGAAATATTATTCCCTTGCTTGATTTTAATTCAGGTAACACTTTTTTAACTTATGAATAAGCTGATAATGCGAGATGAATGTTTGACAAAATCAGCTACAAAACTGTGATTTGTTCGAATTATAACAACGGAAATAACTATAACACCCTGACGTGCCAAAAGAGATAGAGACCTATAACAGTGTAGAAACCTCTATAACTCGGTGTGGGGCAGCGTCCCGAGGTAGCATTACACCAAGAAGTGATCATAAAACCTCTTCAATGATGTTCCATACCATTGGAAATGTCAATGAGGATCATGGAGCTAGTATGAGTAATTCTCCTACAGTAGGTATGTTTTTTAAACCTGTTACCTCCAGACTATTAATGGTTTGCATTATTGAATTCTTTTCACTTAGTAGTTTCAATGTATTTTTTAAAAAATCGATTACTTTCTGCAAGAATTCATCACCTCAAAACACTATGATGAACTTAAATCTTAAAGGCGGCACTCATTGAAGACTTTCAAGCTAGCTTCTGCTGAGGAACAAATCGGCCTCTGGGCCAAAACTAAAAGTACTTATGGTCCAGCTTAGAAAACAGCAATTGCACTCTTGAAGGGATAACTTTGAATTCCTCATTTCATTCCATGAAACTTCAAAATCTTAGTTTAATTCTGATTCGGGCTATAAAAGAATGATTTGGGCTGAAATTTCAATTTAGGCCGAAAATTGAGTTCTTCAAATCACAAACTGTGTGGAACTTCAAAACCTCAAGTCAGGAAAACCTCTCACTTTAACCCTGATTCCTTGGAATTTTGAAGAAATAAAATTTATTTCCTCAATTTCAGAAGTTTGGAGATATTTCAAACTTAATTTAAAGCAAAAAAAAAATTAAATTTACAAATTTGTTGTGTAAATTCAAAATAAATTAAACACTTTTAACATCACTAATTGTTTTCAGTTAATTTAAAATTTGGATTTTTACCTCTTCCCTCCTCAACCGGACACAAATCCCTATGCTGGATGTTCAAGCACCAGATGCAGGGAAGAATTTAATCCCGGGATCATCTTTATTTCAAAATGGTATAACATGTTTATGTAGAGCAAGTGCGGATCGAGTTTCAGACACACGGACAGCCGACAGAATTTGCCATTTATTTATTTAGATGACTGAAGTGTGAAAGTTGAAGGAGTTTATAAAACATAAACGACAAATAATTCGAGCATTGAATTATCACGTTAGTAGTTTGTATGACTACATGTCAAAACAATGCTTAAAGATTTCGCGCTAAGCAACCATGAACAAAGCTTTAAGCAGATGTTGAAACGGTATTTTTTTAATCGTTTCACCCTAATCAAGGCGGTAATGCAACTTGTGCACAAGGTTTACAGAAAGTGAAGGGAAAGTGAAAGAGAAGACAGTCAATAGGAAAGATTGAATAAAGGACAACAGATGAACGGGATTCAAGATGGCGATTAATGTTGCATTTAAACTTTTGAAGATTGTAATTATCAGGAAAGCAAGTAAATGGAAAGAAGTTCCACAGGTGGGAAGTGCGAGAAAAGAAACTGTTGGGATAGGTGACGGTTGCTTTTAGCTGTTTCAACAGTAAAAGCGTGAGACATAGAGGAAGCTTAAATTTATATTGTCAGGGCAACAGAGAAAAAAAGTTCGTCAAAGCAGTTACCATGAAAATATTTATAGAAAAGACAGAGGGAAGATATTTTAAACGTTGGAGTTATTCACATTGTGCTTAGTTCTACCTTTCAGTAATGTAGTTTCAGTGTATGGGCATAAATATTTGATAGTTTTGAAATCTGACAGACATGGAGACAGTGATATGACTTGGCTTGTGAATACAGCTGTCGTTCTCTGTTTATTTTTCCCGTGGGCGTATCCGTGCATCTTTTAAGCTACATCTGGTTATTTGTCGGTTTTAGGAGTATAAACAGGTATAATGGTCCATGTTTATAACACAAATTATACAGGGTGTTCCAAAAAAATTACATCATTTCGCAGGTCAATAACTTTGGCAATTCTTGTTGAAATAACCTGAAATTTTCACAGAATGTATAAAAACAGATCAAGATTTTAAATTTAATGTTTTTATTTTGTTATCGCAATGAGAGTCTTCCAGAGAGAAATAAATATAATAAATATAGTAATATCCTAAGGTTTACGTTGAAACACCGATTCCCGCACGATCACCGAAGTTAAGCAACGTCGAGCTTGGTCAGTACGTAGATGAGTGACTGCTTGGCAATACCAAATGATGTAATCTTGAATGTGCAGGTGGTGTAATAGATAATGACTCGGAATTTTTAACCGGAGAGCTGAGTTCCAATTCCAGTTTGGTTTGGCATATTCACGCACAGGAAGATACCCCTGAAAAGTTATTAACCACCTCTCCTCTGTCATCTATGGGTTAATTACTTCACTAAATTATTAAAATATGTTACGATTTAAAAATATATCCTGGCTTTAAAAGGCCTGTAAAAGATTGGTAAAAAGTAAAAAACAAATTAATCTATAGTAATATTCTCAGCCAGGATCTCTTTCCAGCGAATTTAACAACCAACTGCTGCAAACTAACGGATATACTGCTCGATTTTAACATCTCGGTTTTTCTATGCCAGTATTATTATTATTATTACTTTATTTGATTTGATATGATTTCTGGTGTGTACTCATTTTATTCGGAGTTCCGACCAGAGACCTAATGTCAGAAATGACATCATGATATTTTCTAGTGAGCAATTTTGAAAAAAATCACATATTTTACATAGATAAAGCTCTTCGTAACGTGTGGACAGTACTCGTATTATTATTATTATTATTATTATTATTATTATTATTATTATTTAAAAGGAATCAACAACATTATTATTAATACCTGCCAAATGTTCAGAGACGTTCTTTAGTTCCACCGATTCGTGCCTTTACTGCTAATAGACGTCATGCCACTTTCACGGAATCGAATCACCTTTATTTCCCCCATGTTCAGAGTGTAAGAAAGAAGTTCCACCCTAACAGATTTTTCTTCTCAAGAACTGCTTCTTTGTGAGACACATTTACGCCTGCGTACTTCCCTGAATTCTTTAATCTTGACTTCTTCAACTCAATTATCTATTGTTCTCTCCTCTGCGTATTTTATGTTGATGCTAGTCTTCATCCAATACAGGGCCCAAGAGCCACTCATGGTAGAAGGTTACTGAACAAGGTTGTTGTAATAGTGTAAAGGAAGTCCCTAAAAAAATACCTGTTATGAGAATAGGGAGTATAGATAACGGTTGACCCAAGACGAAGAGCTTAAGATTGTAGTGACCGGAGAAGTATTCTTTCCAGACGTAAAAGTTCTGGAGAAGATTCTATCTGCGTGGAATACGAAGTGGATGAGAATAAGTTGAACCTGCGTACTGGCAAGACGGATCTTTACTTTGGGGACCTGAACTATTAGAATTGGGGAATTTAGCCGACGTGAACTTTAGCCCTAAAAAATACGATAGAGTAGCCAGAGACCAGCAATATTTCGTCAGCGAAAAATAGGTTCCAGGCTTGAACATAATTCACTAACGACGAAGTGGCGTAAACACATTTGAACACTGCAAAAGCTGGAAAATTAAGACTGGGCAGATCCATTACATTCAAAATCTTTACTTCATAGCCCTCTTCAGCTCATATAAATCGGCTCCCGCACGATCACCAAAGTTAGGCAACGTCGAGCCAGGTCAGTACCTGGATGGGTGTCCGCTTGGGAATACCAGGTGATTTAAGCTTGGATTTAAGGGTGGTGTAATGGTTAACGGCTCGGAATTGTTAATCGGATAAACATGTTCCAGTTGGTTTCGTTATAATCACATACGCGTAAATACGCTTGAGAAAGTTATGAATCCACCTTCTCTTCCCCCAGCTATGGGTTAATTAATAAGACTTTTAGGCCTAAACTCTTATTAACAACAAAAATAAAATAAAATTATGGGAAAAATATTTACATTTCGGCATTAAATATCCGATAGAGTTTGATATGCCGCTAAACAAAAACAAACAAGCATGCACTCATATAATGCACTTGGATTATTATTAACATTTCGAGTGTAACCCTTTACTTTTACGGTTACTGTAGTTTTGTATTGCCTGATATTTAGTAAAAAAACATTCAATTAAAATATGCGCGTTATAAAAAATAAAATTATTACATAATATATTATATGAAGTATCTTATACGCTATGCATATATAGTATACGCTATTAAATATAACATACAATATATATATATATATATATATATATATATATATATTAATGGTCTTTTATCTCCCTACAGCTATGGGTAAATAGCAGGATAGCATGGCAACTGGTCTAGGAGAAGAACAACTCTGAATTCAAAACTTGCTGAGGATTTCTTGGGGACCTTGTAGCATGTAGTGCAACAGGTCTCCATATTTAGCTTTTTAAAAAGTGTGGTTGGTTCTGTACAAAGTCTTCACCACTATAATCAAATCCATGTCCTGTTGTCTGGGCTGTCGGTTCCCTAGGGAACTGAGCCGCTTGAACCTCATACGTCGAATACGACTGGACAGTACACCATATATATATATATATATATATATATATATATATATATATATATATATATATTCATGAATTATTCATACAAAAAACAAATACAAAGGTTAATGATTTAATTGGCGAGAAATCCATCGTCGCGAACAATTCAAATAATATACAAAAACCCCGAACCTGTTTATGATTAAAAGATCCTTGTTTTTATAAATTTCTGTTGCATAAGTTCTTATTATTTTTACAAGCTTTCGTCTGTTCCTACGGACATCCTCAGGTATGGAATAGATTTTGGTCTTGTTTTTACTCTCAATAATAAGAGGACAACGAAAATATATATATTGTAATCCGAAAAATGCTATTAAAATGAGTTATTGTTTTTGGAGCGTGCAGTCGCAACGCTGAGTTTGAATTTAAATTTTACGATTGTGCGTTCTTGTACAAATGTAATGATACGTGAATTCTTTTTTACTGGTAAATTTTCTGTCAAAGTGGCATGAACTATATTTTTCAATAATTACAGTAATGTTGCACTTATTAGCCAAAAGTTGCACTTGGATCAGTTATTTTAATTTCAATAAAGGTGCAATTAATTTACAAATTCATGAATTATATATATATATATATATATATGTGTGTGTGTGTGTGTGTGTGTGTGTGTGTGTGTGTGTGTGTGTGTGTGTGTGTGTGTGTGTGTGTGTGTGTAGAAATACATATATATATATAATATATGTATGTATGTATGTGCGTGCAATTTTTTATATATATTATTTATATATTATATATGCGCGGTACTTATTGGAAAGCGCTCAATATTCGCTACACATTCCATCATTGAATACAGCGACCAAATGCGTACGTATATACGCAACGACACATGGATGCGCATATATGCCCAGTCTCACACTGTTCACATATGTTTATGTTTGTGTGAGCTTCAGTCATTAAGCATGCGTATGTGTGTCTGCGTACGTCAATAATTGTACGTGCGTCTCTGTATGCTTGCGTAAGTATGAGTGGCGATCCGACGACAATTTTTGTTCACACTTCCATAAAAATACCGATATGCGCAACCATATACAAATCCAAAATTTAAAAATTAATCAGTTTGTCTGACGATCGCAAATAGCGTGAAACCTAGGATCACAAACTCACATCAATCCAAAATCTAAATATATATATATGTGTGTGTGTGTGTGTGTGTGTGTGTTTATGTGTGCGTGTGTGTGTGTTTACTTCTACTTGTGTTAATGTATATACACATTTTTACCATGTTGATGCGTATATATCCATATACCATCTAATATTATCTTATATGTGGGTTGATCTATATACAATGACTACGTGTATGCGTTGAGTGAGAAGCGCGTAACATATGATAAGACAAATAGCAGAGAGGAAGTAGAGAAAGCATTTCACTCTAAGTCGGTTTAAAAACTCCGGCGTATAATTGATCTTGGATCAATTGTAGTTGTAGGTCAGTTGTAGTTGATGTGAAGGAAATGAATTCGCTTCCTGAGTCAAGGAGGTTTGCAAAAAGAATTTTGACAAAGCGCTTAGCTAGTGACGAAGCAGTTTCAAACGACAAGGATCTTAACGCCTACCTTTCTAGAGCAAGTGCACAAAGCATTTAATTTTCTGTTTCTGGTAAAAACCTTCCGGGATTTTTTTCAACAGTAATGTCTTAATGCTAAGCAGCGTTAAGAAAGTGTCGTAAGAGGCGAAGTAAAGAGGAACAAGAAACGTAGCGACGAGAAAGACAGATGAAGGAAACAAACTTAGGTAAGATGAGAAATAATAATAATAAGAAGAAGAAGAAGAGGAGGAGGAGGAGGAAGAAGAAGAAGAAGAAGAAGAAGAAGAAGAAGAAGAAGAAGAAGAAGAAGAAGAAGAAGAACCAAGAGTAGAAATTCATGTGGTTGTGAGAAAAATCGCAAGAGGGAAGTTACAAAAGAAGAGAAAAAAAAGAGAAAGATGTGAAGCATAAAATTGAGAGTGTGGACTGAATGTAAGATGTAAAGAAACGTTCACTTTCAGACATGGAAAAGGAAATAAACAAGAGAAAAGGAATTAAAATTCAAAGAATAAAATTTTAACAATAAAATAAAATTATCTAAGAAAAACAATGACCGGAAACTAAACAAAAAGCAAGAAAAACGGAAAAGAACGAAGAAAAATACATTTATTCATCATAGTTTCAGGGAGAAACTTGTTTTCAACATTATTTTTATATTCTTATTGAAACTATCAACGGTAGACTGACGACTGTCTCCGCAGCTTCAAGCTGGAGATGTGAACAAATTCACTTTTCTGGCTTCAATCGACTTTCATCCTTTTGTGAAAACTGTTTGCTGTCGACACGTTTAGCTTCAAAGCATCCGAACAAGAAAATGGAGGCGTCATTTCTTTTTTATTTTATGTTATAAAAGACGTTTGTTGCAACCTTTTGAAACAAACAGCAGGATTTTAAAATTTTATTTTTCTTAATTTCTTTATGTAATGTTTCATTTATAATGGTAGCTCCTGTTTGTCAATTTTTAATTTTTTTTTTTTTTTTTTTTTACAATTTCCCCAAGTCATGATGTTTTCAAAATGTAAGGAAATGTCTTCCATGGAAACCTTCTTTAGTTGTACGTCCTAATTTCTTCATAACGTGTTTAGACTTCCAAGAATCAAATGCGATGAAATCTTGGTCTAATTTAAAATCAAGTGTCCTCATATAAACCCGGACAATTTGTCTGTTTACATTCTTCCACCCAGGAAACAGTAAGGGGCTCAGTTCAAAAGAATCTATTTGAGTACTGAGGAAGCTTTATAAATAATAGAAACGAACAATACCTTTATACTTTCAGTTAGAAAGAGAAGGTTGAAATTTCCGGGGAGCATATTAAGGGCAGGAGGCTTGAAGAATGTGGCAATATCAGGTCATGCTGAAGACAATAGGGGCAGAGAGAAACATTGGTTGGCATACATAATGAGCTTGTATAAATGGATGAGAGAACATGGAGCCATACTAAAGAGACATGTACTGCTTCTTTTCCATTACATCGACTTGAGTGTTTATTTAGTCGTTTATAAACTACTACTGGAATCTTCGCTTTGCATCTTTAAGTATTCATGATGTGATCACAATCGAATGACAATGCCCATAATTTATGATATGTTAACTAACAAAAATTCCAGTGTTAAAATATTGTAGTTTACTTCGGATCTCATTCAAGGCTATTCAAGAGGGATTCAATCAAATGAATTTCTAGCGAAATATATAGAGATATCGACTTTGCTATCTCGACATTAAGTCCAGTTGTAACATCGTCTAATTGAAATCAACATTTTTTTAATTGTATCGACTAGTGCGTTTATTTCAGCATATCTATACTAACACTACAATATTCTTTTTATGTCTTTACGTACCCAAGTTCCGATCATGGTCAAACAAAAATACACATAATTTCTGACATTAGCGCTTCAAAACATCGTTGTAATAAGAGTGGTTAAATTCAGATGTCATTCAAGGCTGCCTGAGGTCATTACAGCATGCAAACTCTAACCCAATGAAGAATTTTCTAGCAAAATCTAATGAATGACTGACTTCGCTGTCAAATCGACACCAGCCCTGAAGAGTGAAAGCATTACTGCAATGTGCTCACGAAACTCTGAAGCCGGCATGACTAAACTAACACCAAGTGATAATTTTACCACATTAATTCTATTAACCCTCTATTTTTACCTTCTGATATCGGGCACTCTATGCCAAAAAACTGCCTGCCTAAATGCTTTCCCAGCAGCAAACTACAGAACTAACAATTTTGAACTCAAATCTCTAACAATTAATGCTATACATACATACATACATACATACATACACACACAAACATATATATATATATATATATATATATATATATATATATATATATATATATATATATATATATATATAGGAAAAACAAAATTTTTGAAGAAAGATTCTGTACAAAACGTATTGTACAGACGAAAATGAGGATTGGAAAAAAGCACCTAATATATATATATAACTTATTTATAATATATGAATTTCTTACAGAGAAGAATTAAAAGTTTGTTACTTGCAAATGGATTTTCAATACTGAAAATTCAATTATAAGTAACAAACTTTTAATTCTTCTCTGTTAAAATTATATCTATAATATATATATATATATATATATATATATATATATATATATA